GCCCTGCCTCCGTCTATAAAGTGGAGTGTGATTAAGGAAGATACACAATGTCTACTTGGGAAAATACACATGCAGTCATACACTTGAACACACATATATGCACTCACACCACACTCATAAAAAGTCCACTATGCTTTCATGCACTAGCAATGAGAAATTCCAAAGTGAAATGAAGAATTTGATTTGAGATAGTATTAAAAAGAACTCTTAATAATAAAACAGGTCAAAACTTAAGCCCACAGCACTTTGTGAAAAGAAATTAAGACCTAAATAACCAGAAAGACCCTCCATTTTCATAGGGGGAAGAATTGGTGGTATTGACATCGCAATATCTCCAAATTGGCAATCAGATTAAATAAAACCATTGATTACATCCCAGCAGGATTTTTTTCCGTGGAAATTGATAGACTAATCATAAAATTTATAAGGAAGTTCACCCCTCTTAGTTATGGTGTATAATTTTTGAGTATGCTGTTCTGTCATTGAGGATTTTATTTGTTGAGACAGCGTCTTGCTGTATAGCTCTAAGTTGTCATTGAACTCATGATCTTCCTCCCCCCCACCTCCTAAGTGATTGTATTACAGGCATGTACCACCAAATACGCTTTTTTTAAAAAAGGATTTTTCTGTTAATATTCTGAAAGGTTTCTTTCTTTTTATTGTCTTTGGTATCAAGGAAATGCTAACTTAAAAGAATAAGTTTTCAAAAAAGTTTGATAGTGTACACTGGTAATGATAAAACCTTAAAAAGCTATAGTGATTAAGAGAACGTGGCACTGAAGGAAGGACAATCAGGTCAATCAACAGTCTAGACTAAAATCTTAAATTTAGGGCTAATTGATTTCTGACAATGTTACCAAGTTTGTTCAATATATAAAAGATGTTCTTTGCAATAAATAGTGGGAGACAGTTGAATATCCATCCCCCAAAATGAATCTGGACACTTTATACAAAGATGAACTCAAAATAGATCATACACATAAACACAGGACTTGTAACTCCCTCACTGTCGGAAAGAAAACAGGAGTAAATCTTCATGATCATAGCATGACTTCACAAACAACAAAAGTAAGAATTGGTAAGTCGAACTTGATAAAAGATCCAGCAAATTTCTGCTTTATATGACAGCAACCAAAAGGAAAATGAAATATTTCACAGAATGAAAATATTTGCTAATCATTGATCTGATATTTGTATGAAGGATATGTAAGAAGCTTACATCTATCAAATAAAAAGATACTCTAATCATAAAATGGCCTAGTATTTGGGGAGACAAATCTCCAAAGAAGATACACATGAGGCTAAGGCACAGGAAAAGATAGTTAGTGTCATTAATCATTCATGAGATACAAATCTAAACCATAATGAGATACTATTTCATACTCATTAGTGTGTCTGATATCAGAATGATGGATAATAATGACATTGGCAAAGAATATGAAAAAAAACCCCAGAACCCTCATGTATTGATTATGGGAAGGTAGAGGGATTCAGCCATTTATAAAATAGCTTTAACCATCTCTCAAAATGTTAAACACAAGGTTGCCATACAATCCAGCAATTAAGTGGAGATAGATGAGCCCAGGAGAACTGAGAACAGGATTACGGAGAGCAGTGTGTACAATGTTCACGGCAACACCTTTTTTATTAACACACAGAAACAATTCCAGTGCCCATCAGCTAATGCATGAACAAACAAAATGTAGCCTGTCTAGACAGTGAGCTTCTCTGTGGTGAGAAATGAATGAGTGCTATCTACTACAATGTATGTTTGTGGATGACCCTCACAAGCATCATCTTACATTACAGGTGTCGATCACTAAAGAACAGATGTTATGTGACCCTATCCATCTGAAATGTCTACTATAAGGAGAACTGTGGGAACAGAAAATAGATTAAAGGATGCCTGGGACTAAGGCCAAGTGTGTGAGAAATACGGTTTGGCTGCTAAAGGGCCAAGATTTTTTTTTTGAGGTGGCAAATCGGTGAGTTTTTTGAAAGTGGATTGTATCTCAATTAACTCCTCAGCAAAAAGACCAGGGGTGCTGCTCAGTGGTTGAACACTCACTCAGCCCCAGGTCTCAAGTTCCATTTCCAGAATTGCAAAAAAAAAAAAAAAAAGAAAGAAAAGAAAAAAATTAAACATGAAATTATCAATTTGCTCTTAGAACTCTAACCAAGAAAAAGGAAACATGTTTATTCTATAGTTTCCTTTTGCAAATATTCTTTGAAGGTTTATTTGTATCAACCCCAAACTTGAGATCATCTCTCCGTTTGTCAGCCAGACAAGTTATAAACAAGATGCTGCATATCCGTACGAAGGAGCAAGGAGCAAGACTCCACAGCAAAAGGGAAGGGTCTATGACGAAAGCTGCACTGTGAAAACCCGAGTCAGGGCCAACCTGGTTTGCTTTCATTTGTATGGGATGTCTGATAAAAAAAAAACAACAAAAAAACAAAGCAACAGAGCTAGGAAGCAGATAAGCCAGGCTGAGACCCCATCGGAGGCAGCAGAGGTGAGAAGCCATTGGAAGGATTGGCTGGACACCTGCTGGGTATTAGACTCCTTTTCAGTGTCTTGAGCTGCTACTGGGTGAACAGGCATGTAAGGCTTTTCTTTCTTTTCATTTTTGTTGCATATATTTGTAGAATTTGCTAAATGGATGTTTAGTATAATAATGAAAAGGCAAAGATGGGCTGATCTGCTTGATTCTGACAGCATAAACACAGGATACATATCTTAGAACCTATTGAAAAATTACTTCTGAAATGAGTTAGGAGAAAGCTGAAGGGATGGTAGAGGGGATAAAACAATCTTTTCATATACTTTTGAGTTTTGAGTTATACTGATGTTTAATGTTTAAATAGTTATTTGAAGACTTGTGAAGACATAATTGTTATGGCACGTTAGTGGGTCCAGCCCCGCAGGCAAACCACTCCATCTGCTATTTTAAATATTTATTTTTATTATTTTAAATTGTGTGTGTGTGTGAACGCATGAATATAGATGCTGTCTTATTTAGGGTTGCTCTTATAAAACACTATGACTGAAAGCAACTCGTGGAGGAAATGGTTTATTTCAGTTTACAGTTCCACATCACAGTCTGTCACCGAAGGAAATGAGGGGAGGAACTCAAGCAGGAGCTGAAGCAGAGGCCGTGGCGAGTGCTGCTTACTGACTTGCTCGCTGTGGCTTGCTTAGCCTGCTTCCTTATAGCACCAAGCACCACCAAGTGACACCATCCACAGTGTCATCTATGGGTCTTCCCTTCTGAAACATTACTCAAGAAGTTACCCCACCGACTTGTCCATAGCTCAATCTGGTGTGTGTGGGGGGGGGAGGGGATTTTCTCAGTTGAGTTTTCCTCTTCTCAGTTAAGTTTATGTCAAGTTGACATAAAATTAGCCAGCATGGTTGCCCTTCAAGACTGGAAGTGTTGGGTTCCCTGGAGGTGGAGTTACAGGTGGTTGCAAGTGACTGATGTAGGTGCTGGGAGCTGAACTGCAGTCAACTAGTGTTGATCCAAGGTCTTCTGGAACAGCTTTTCTTTTTTTTTTTTCTTTCCTTTTTTTCTTTCCTTCCTTCCTTCCTTCCTTCCTTCCTTCCTTCCTTTCTTTCCTTCCTTCTTCCTTCCTTCCTTCCTTCCTTCCTTCCTTCCTTCCTTCCTTTCTTTGTTTCTTTCTCTTTTTTTCGAGACAGGTTTTTTTCTGTAGCTTTGGAGCCTGTCCTGGAACTAGCTCTTGTAGACCAGGCTGGCTTCGAACTCACAGAGATCCACCTGCCTCTGCCTCCCGAGAGCTGGGATTAAAGGTGTGTGCCACCACCGTCCAGCTGGAACAGCTGTTCTTAAGTCAGTGATGGCTTCCTGGCTTCCCTGCTATGCTCTTCACCTTTGCTTTGGTAGCCATTCTGAGATTGGTGGATACGCACAATTTCTGAGTACCCCATGGGACACAACTACTTTTGCACATCACACACACGCGCACACACACTTTATGGTTCTGGGGATCAAACTTTAGTCCTTGTGCTCACAAAGCAAGTACTTTACTGACTGAACCATCTCCTCCTAAGGCCCTGGACTACTTTTCAATTATTGAGTTGTTTGCATAGTGAGAACAGGCAAAAAAATTAAAACTATCTATAATGAACATTTGCTTCTTTGTCTGGGCAGTCTGGGGAAACGATTTCATTTCCTCCTGCACGTAAGAGAAGAGTGTGAAATAGCCATGACACTGGTCTGAATGGATATCTAAAGGGTTGAGATGCTTGTCATAATTTTTTCTTTTGATTTGTAAAATATTTTTATTTCATTTTAAAATTTTACTTAGCTTTGCTTAAGATAGAGAGCCACCCCGAGACTTTCTGTCCATTTGCTAGGAATTCCCTTTGTATCTTGCCCAGGGATTTTACTGGGGATAGTTTATCCTCATCTCCTATGTCCCCTTTTCTGAGCTGTCATCAGAAGTCTTCAAACCCCTCTTTTCCATCTGCACTCTGACCCTGGAAGTTGAAAGAGGTCATTGTCACATCATCACTCGTCAGCCAATCAGGGGGGAACCTCCCTTCGACTACCTTCCTATTCCATAGAAGTTCTGAGGCAGCTTCAATGGAAGGAGGGAGCCAAGAAGGCCCTCTGTAAGTCTGAAGATGATCATTACAACATGGATTGTGTACATCTTTACCCGGAAAGGTGTAGGGCTACCCTTCCCACCAAAGGCAAACTCGGTGAGTGGTGGTGGCGGTCATGTGGAACTGGGACACTCCATCTTCTCTCCGTCTGCGGTTCTGGCGTGCTTCACAGACACCTCACCTCATGTCACATTGATAGCAGTAGTGGTGACGGGTGGGTCTCTAGGGTTTCTGATGTCATCATTTTAACCAATTTGTTTCAGGACATTGAAGTTGTGGAAAGTGAAGCTGTATCCGTAGTGCAACATTGGTTGAACAAAGTGAGTAGAATTCTTCTATGACTCAGTTCCTCAGGTTCTAGAGTGCAGTTATCACTAGGGGGCAGGAACCAGGACTCCCCTCTCTATATAATTGAGAAACCCAAGTTTATTACCAAACTCCTTGTCTGGAGTTGACTTTAATTCATTCTAATGTCTGAGAGGATGTGGGGTTTTGTGTTGGTGAGAGAAGAGCTGGCATCGCTACTCACTGACTTATCAAACATCCTAGAGGAGGGAATTCTACTCAGGATGGTCCCAGAAGTACCTTGGGATAGGACCGAGGGCTTAGGGGAGGTCCCAAAGGTTCGCAATGGAGCTTTGTGTAGAAGCTGGGAGGAATGGAGCGAGAGTGGCGTGTGTGTGTGTGTGTGTGTGTGTGTGTGTGTGTGTGTGTGTGTGTGATGAGTGTGTGTGTGTTGCAATGGGAGGGGCACAGGGGAAGGAAGAAGAGAGGGGACCTGGACAGCGATCAGATGAAGCCCCTGCACTTCATCCATTCACCTTCACCTTCCAGACAGAAGAGGAGGCTTCTCGGAACATAAAGGAGAAGATGTCTACCAACATCCCTCCCACTCATGGACACGACATACATGTGACCAGAGATTTGGTAACTGAGAGCTTGTGGGGAAGTGGGGGTGAGAGTGTGTGGTGAGGGATCCGGGGCAAAGGGCACATCACAGCTGTGGGCGTCCACACTGACTGGTAACCACACGTATTCAATCTGGATTTCCCAGGTGAAGCACCAGCTCTCCAAGTCTGACATGTTAGCAGACCCTAATCAGGAAGTCCTGGAGGAGAGAACGAGGATCCAGTTTATAAGATGGAGGTACAGTACCCAGGGAGCGGGGCAGCCTCCTGAGCAGGCGCATTAGTTCTAGAGAAATCACTTCCTTTGGCAGAGAAATTCCTCAGTCGTGTTTTGGGGACTTACGGCAAGAGTCTTGCTATCTGGAAGGCTTAGCTCCTTCGTACCTTTTTAAATGACCTCAGCAGCTGAGAACCTGGTCTTGCTCTCCATTTCCTAAATGCTTTTGAATATGGTTCGGATTTTTGTTATTTTTGCTCTTCAATTGTTCAGAAGTGGCAGCACTTGAAAGCGCTGAAAGAAAGCAAGCTCTTAAAACGCAAAAGCCAAAGCGCTCATCTGCGGCTCTGCAGTGCGGAGAGTCTGCCGTGTGGAGGTCTCCCGGAGGCAAGAACTTTGTGACAAAGCTATGTTGTCACCTTCCTGCCACCTTTGTGCAGCCTGTCCTCATAAAGCCTTACTTGGTCCCGAAGATGCTGCAACTCTAGGTGTGGGGGGGGGGGTGTGGGGGCGGGGTGCCACCCCACCCCTCCTGCAGAGGCATCCCAGTCTTGTTTCCTGAGTCCATCAGTGTTTGGGCCAGATCATCACCTTCTTCCTTCCTCGAACTAGTCCATGTGTGTCCAAGGGGCTTGTTCTTTCCTCTGTCCCCTCTGGTCCTTGTTGTCCACTTTGCTCTTTTCTTGGGGAAACTGTGTTCCTCAGCAAGCTTAGTTTTGCTTCAGGGTTCGGGTATTTGTGAGTTTACTTTGCCAGGGACAATGTATTGTAGAGTGTTTGAATATGTCCTGGCTCTTCTAGGGAGGAACTACCAATGATAGAATTTCAGAGCCCCCAGAGAAGAGATTTTCTCTAGAAATGCATTGAAGTTTCTCAGTATTACTGACTTCGATCCCAGCTTCTCCTTGCTTAAATTGGATCCTGGAGTTACAAACGTTACTCTCCTTGGTTTGGACCAACCTCATCCTCTAAAATTGCTTTAACCTTGGCTATACAATTAGTTTAAGATTTCCGAGGCAGGTGTGAAGCGTCAGTTGTTTGTCTATGTGTAATTTCTCCACTCTAAATTTTCAGTGGAGATTGGAAGTGAACGATCTGTTCTTTCTCAGAATGCACTGATTCTGGGGTTTTCTTCATAGTTCTGGTAACAGGTGGTCAGGGTGACACGCTTGCATGAAGCAGCACTGGCTTTTCATTCTTTGAGTAGGTGTAAACGCATCAGTCTGGTCTGGAGGAGGAAAACAGACACACATTCCATGGATGTACATGAAGTAGACAGTTGGGTGTGTGGAAGTTAGTGTTAGGGAAGCCTGGAGGAAGGTCTGAGGGCACAACGTGAGACTCAGACTGCACATTTATTAGGCATTGCTGCGAGATCATCCCAGGAAGGTTCCCAGGGGGCTTTAAGCTCAGAGTGGCTCTTTAATAGGGTACTATTATCTGATTAACAGGGAACTGAGGAGAAAAGGAAAGCCCATGTAGCCTGGGCATCCTTGTGCTGAGGCTCCTGTTTTCAGAGGGTCCCCTTCCCCTTAGGCTAGGGACAGTTAACCTTGCCTGTTTTATCTCCTATGGGCTCCAACTGGTTCCTCCTGGTAGGAGCCACAGTCACAATCATACCCCCATCTCTCTGTGGGCAGAGGAGGAGGCCAGACAGAATTTGGGCCTCAACCATAACGGCACCATAGACAAAGAAGTGGGTATTTTGTGGTCACTACGGGACACTGGAGGGGAGGAGTGGGTGGCATGAGAAAAGACAGGAAGCAGACTAGAAAAGGAAAGGTAATGTTAGCATAGAGAAATAATGCAAAGAGTGGCCTGTGCCATGGTACCAATCCTAAGAGTCTACAATGAAACTAGAGAGAAATTTGGAATGAGGAGTTGTCGTAAAAGGAGTGGCAGGCCACTTCCTGCCACCCAGCTCCCAGCTGCCTGGTTAGCTTCTACCCCGAAATAACAACACACAAATTGCATTCATTTAAACACTGCCTGGCCCATTATTTCTAGCCTCCTATTGGCTAACTCTCACATCTTGATTAACCCATTTCTATTAATCTGCATTTCACCATGATGTCATGGCTTACCAGGAAAGATCCAGCATGTCTGACCTGGCGGCTGGCTCCATGACGGCTCTCTCTGTCTCTGCCTCCTTTCTCCCAGCATTCTGTTCTGTCTACTCTGCCCGCCTAATTTTCTGCCCTATCAAAAGGCCAAGGTAGTCTCTTTATTTAACCAATGAAAGTAACACATAGACAGAAGACCCTCCTACACCAGGGAGAGCTGTGCTTCAGTCACCCTACTGGTGGCCAGTTTCTCTTTCCCTGTATCCTTGGAACAATAGGCTGTCTTCACACAATGGCTGGGTATCTGGGAGGTCCTTTGTTATTTAAGAAACAGAAGAGTGGGGGTGGGTTCTTAGGCGCATGCATCTGGAGTCCCTGCTACTGTTCCTGTAGTCCCAATTTCGGTAGCCTTGCTAGGCTCAACTGTTATGAAAAGCAGCTTAGGGTCCCGTGGTGCAATGGTATTTTCCAGCCACACCCGTATCTTCCAAGTACCAAGTGAAATGATAGAAGATGTCATACAGGATCGTATAGATCAAGTGAGAGAAAGGTAAGTTCTCATGACAAATTGCCTTGTGTGCCTACCTGGGTAGACGTGGGTGGAGATGACGTCAGTCAGCTGCCCATCCCAATCATCTGTTGGCTCTAACATGAGTGGGGGCATGAAGTTCCAAGGGCTTCTTTCCTTTGTGGTCCACATTATGGTGGCCTTATCAACCTCACATGGTACGCCCCCTGCCATGACTCCAGGCTGAGGGCTTCCTTCCTGGATTTCAGTTCTGAAGTTTACACATGATGATGGCTCAGGACTGTGCTTCCCCTCCGGCCCATGCCCTGTGCTGCCATTAGGGTATTAGGTCTAGGTAGGTTCTGGTGGTAGGCTATTTTTCATCTTGCTGTTCTCCTCTGCCCTCTGTAGCATATCTCACCTCAGGTGTGACTCATACGATGACCCAAGCTTCAGAACTTCTTGCTCAGAATGCTAAGGTGAGGAGAGCCACAGGTAAGGGCCTGGGTGGATAGGGTGGCTAGCCTTGGTAGGGGAAGGGAGACCTAGCACAGGGTGCTTTTTGTTTTCCTGAGTGAGGAAAGTCTGCACTCAGAAGCAGAGAGGGCAGGGACAAGTAGATGTTGCCATCCTAACTCTCCTTTGAGATACAGGGTCTCAGTAGGAGTGAGGGCGTACAGAATTTGAACCTGCTACCAGAAAGGGACTTTTGGCCATGCATCCCCTCCTTGGGCTTTGCACAACGCAGCTGGCCATAACTGAATGTTGATCAGTTCTGGAAAGTGGAAGGCTGGAGGTGAAACCATTCCAATACAAGGAGCATGCCTGAAACAGTCACTGTACCCTATCCAAGAGAGATGCCCCTAGTAGCTGCTGTGGGGGTGGGGCGAAAGACATGATTGACACAGAGCTGGAAGTTACATGCTTAAAAGGCATCAGGAAATGCAATGTTAGCATTTATTAAGTGCTCTCTGGATGCCAGATTCTGTACAGGACATGTTTTGTGCAGGGTTCTCATTGATCCAGACAACCATTATACAGAAAGTAGAGGACTTGTAAGTGAAGATGGGGAAGAGACACTGGCTTCAACTGGCTGCACATTTTCATCAGGGCTCACTGAACACATCTCTGATTTCTAGGTTGAAGGCCTCCCAAGTCAATTAACAGTCCATGTCCAAAGATGTCCACCTCATGTTTGGCCTGAAGGGTGACCAGACTTGAGCAGAAACACTATAGAGGCCGAGCCTTTGGGTACCACCATGATGACACTGGAATCTTCTTGCTGAAGTGTTAATAAAGAGACATCTTATCCACCAACCAGCCCTGATGTTGGTGTGGATGGTTTGCCGTTCCTTCCTCCCTCTTCCTCTCCTTCCTTCCCTCCCTCACTCCTTCCGTTCCTCCCTCCCTCTCTCCCTCAATTATCCATGCATCCATCCATGCATCCGTCTATCCATGCATTCATCCATGCATCCATCCATCCAATTTTAGGTGCCTTGCAGCCTGGTGCTGGGGGCACACAGCTACCTGCTATTCCGCTGCCATGCATTGCAGGCAGTGCAGGAGATCCCAGCACTTTTGAAGGGATATTGGTGTGGACTGGGACAGGGGTTGGGCGGATGGAGTGGATTTCCTGCAGGAGTTCTGGGGATTCCTGTATTTTATGCCCACTCATTGCTGCTTTCATAGCTTCCTTTATGTGGCTCTCAGTTTCTGGCCTGCATCCTTTCTTTTCTCTCAGACTAACTTTAAATATTTCCTGCTAGACAGCTGAAGATTCTCTTCTGTTTTTGAGTGTGAGGAAGTTGTTATTTTTCCCTTTAGAGGGATGGCTGCGCAGGCTCCCGCATGATGCTGGTGTTTCCATCCTCTCAGCATGTGAGTGTGTCATTCTGCTCTCGCTCGCACGGTTTCTGCACGGAGTTCTCAGCCTTGCTCCTTATAGGCAGCGAGTTTTCTCTACTCTGTCTTTTCACCACCTTTTTTTTTTTTTTTAAAGATTTTTGCATTCACTGCTTTCAGTGCTGAGTTTTGTAAGGTCTTTTCCACACAAGTTTTAAGGCATTTTGAGCACATTACCCCATTTCCTTTTCTCTCGCCTCTTCACTTCTGTGAGTCCCTTTCAGTCTTTTAGACAATTTTACTTCTATTTTTTCTGTTATATGCACATTCATGACTTCATGTATCTACATAAAATCTAGAATTCAGAAAGGAGAGGAAACTATGCGATGTCTGTCTTTCTGAGACAGAATTAATCTGCTTAATATGGTCATAGCCCGTTGCAACCATTTTCTTGCATAGTTGTTCTTTCTGCCTGAATAAACTCCCATTGGGCATATTTACCACATCTTCTGTACCCCTTCCTTTGCTGACAGACCTCTATGTTGACTGGTTCTTGTATCCTGGACTTTGAATCTTTAAAGATTTATAAATAGGCGTGGACCTTTCTTGTCCCCCTGTCCTTGGAATTCTTAGAGATCTCTGGATTTGTTGTTGTGCCTGTCCTGAGTTTGGGGACAGTCTTAGCTGTTACCACTCCAAATACTTCTGTGGCCTTTTGTTTTGTGCCCTTGATCATCCCATTACACAAGCGCTACAGAAATGTTTGATGACTGACACATAGCTCTTGGACATTCTGACCCCAGCTCTTATTTGGTTTTTTGTTTGTTTTCTGTTGCTATGTCTTGCTTTTCATTGGTGATGGGAGTTGAACCCATGGCCTCATGCATACTGAGTGTACAAAGTGCCACTGAGTTACACACTTGGCCTGTAATGTTATCTATTCTTTGGTGTGTGTGTGTGTATGTGTGTGTGTGTGTGTGTGTGTGTGTGTGTGTCGGATCTTCCTGTCTCCACTTCCCCTGCACTAGGAGTACAAGCCACCACATCTCGTTGTCTGTAGAGGTGCTGGGGATTCAGCTCAGTTCCTCATGCGTACAGAGCCAGCTCTTAGAGCAGAGCCCCCTTTCCCAGCCCCTGCTGTTATTTCTTGAGACTCATGGATGCTTTGCTTAGCATTGTCAATCTACTGATGAGCCCTTCAAAGACACTCTCACTTCTGTGTTGTATTTTCTTCTGGACCTTTCCCTTAGACTTTTCCTTAGTGTTTCCACCTTTCTGTTTATATTACCCATCTGTTCCTACGTGCCCATGTGTTCCCATAGAGCCCTTGGTGTATTTATGGAAGTTGTTTTAAATTCCTGGCCTGATTATTTGCACACACCTGCTTCACACAAGTCTGATTCTGATAGCTACTATGTTCCCCCAGAATCTATGGCTTTTATTAATTGTGTGTCTTGAAATTGTTTAATGGAAGGCAGACATGATGTATTAGGCCAAGGGACTGAGGAAAGCAGGTCTTTAGTTCCAGGCTTTCTGCTTAGCTGGCCAGGGGTAGCCTGTGTATGTTATCTCTTCTGTGGGTTTCCTTAGCTACTCCTTTGCAGACAGAACCTGAGGACTAAAATCTTTCAGCTGCCCTCTCTTTTGCCACTCAGGAACCTCCTGTGACATGTGTGTGGAGGGACGTCCAGGCAGCCCTGTGATGAGGCCTTGTATTCACTGAGCCTGTTCCCTGGGCTGTGACCTTCTGAGGGGCTTCTTGGCTCTTCCCATTGTCACTGTCTAAAGACTGAAAGTCTGGAGGGGGTGTGTGTGGAGTTGGACATTCCTCATCTCCTCAGCTGGCTTGGTTCTAGAGAAATGATTGCCATGAAGGCAGGTTTCTGTGAAGGAGGAGACAATGTTCTGGGCCCAACAATGCCACCCTCTCCCTCTCTTGGAAGGGTAAAGAGGTTTGGCCTTGTTCTTCACGGGGAAAACCTGGGGACAGTGTGGACGGAAACCTTCACGTCTGTGATGTCCTCTATAAGTGGGCCCTCAGACTGAATGTGCTCAGGCTCAATCCTACTCAACCTCCAGACAGTTGTCTGTCACAGGTGAGGTTTTCCTGCTCAGCTCTGGTTCCAAGGAGGCTCTGGACAAGTTCAACCTGCACATTAGTGAGCAATCTGAGACTAGGCCTTTCTTCTTTCTGTTCTTTCTGTTCTTTCTTTCTGTTCTTTCTTTCTGTTCTTTCTTTCTGTTCTTTCTTTCTTTCTTTCTTTCTTTCTTTCTTTTCTCTCTCTCTCTCTCTCTCTCTCTCTCTTCTCTCTCTCTCACTTTTTCTCTTCTCCCCTTCCTCCTCCTCCTCCTCTTCCTTGTCTTTGTCTTTTAATTTTTACTTTTTAAGCAGGTCCCATGTAGTCCAGACTTGCTTCATATTCACTATGTGGCTGAGAATGACCTTGAATTCCCCATTCTTGGTCCCTAAGTAGGCCGATACCTCCCAAATGCTAAGGTTACGGGCCTATGCCACTGAGCCCAGTTGTTGATTTTTAGTTCATTTGCAAGGCCAAGTTCTAACACCTCCTGTTGCCACAGTGGCTTTATCCAAGGAACTTGAGTTCTGGTGGGACAGGGAGAGGGAGAGGAAGAGCGAATAGGAGTTGCCCAGTGAGGGGCAGGAGGGCAGTCTGTTGGGCTGGGGAGGGGGGAGGTGCATTTGTAGGAAGGGTGGAAGGGGGAACCTGAGGGCTACTCAGGCTGGATCTGGCCGCAGAATCCTGGAAGATCTCACCAACAAAAACGGCCGTGGTGGCCATGCGAGCTGATGCAGTGTCCTCAGCAGCTGGTGCTGTACTGTGGGCTGGTGGGAAGTAGGAGATGGAGCCCAGGAGGGACAGATACTGCCCAGGAATCCCTCCTTTCCATCCTCCTGTCCATCACGAAATATCAGGATGTGTATGTGTGTGTTTTCCACCATCCTGGCCGCCATGCTCAGCCTCCTGACCCAGAGATGGTGGAGCCGCATAAGCAGGAACTGAAGCCTGTTAAAGGCATGCCTAAAGAAATACTCTCTCCTTCTAAGTTGTTAGTCTCAGATGTTTGTCACAGCGGGCAAACACGTGGGGGCAGAGGGTGATTTTGCATGTGGAGATGTCTGTGGCAGACATTGCAGTGGGCAGGATGGTACTTCCTGTGCCCCTTGGGCAGGGACAGGGAGTGGAGTGGGGAGAAAACAGTGGATTGAGGCAGACCTGGTGCTTGAACCATGTTCAATGGGAGAAGAGTCTGGAGGAGTCAAAGAGAGCAACCAGGCTGGGAGGCCAGTTCAATGGACCCGGATGTTGAGTCCATCCTAGTGGTACACACACAGGGAGAGCAGGGATGCACATATGACTTAGGTGGAATGTGCTGCATTTAGGAGCGGTGCTGTCAGATAAGGGCTCCGCATATCCAGGGGAGAGCATAGAGCTCTGGGGAGAGGTATGCTAACCCACGGTCCTTCTTTGGGTGAGAGGCCATTTCCCACTGAACCACTAGATGGCACCATTTCCACACAAACGACATTTCCTGAAGGTGACCTGGGCTTTTTCTAAGACCACTAGCAGGGCCTGGAGTAGATTTTTTTTAGCACTGTTTGGGAAGCTTTGAGATGAGATAGATTTGAATATCTTTGTTTAATTATGAAAACAGTTTACATTCACACACATAAAATGGTATCAAGGCAATTCATTCAAATAAAATGCTCTGAGCACTTATATTCGATACTCTGCGAATATGATGGGATGCCCGGTGAATAGTCTAGCCTGGGAAGCTCTGAGGGCCAGAGAGGCTGCCGTGCATGCTGGTTCTGAAATATGGTGTGAAAATAAGACAACAGTGCATGCACGGTGGAGCAGGGGTTGGGTGGGTTTCTCTACTAGAAAGACAAAGCTTGTTGTCAGCGGAGGGAGCGACTGTTTAGACAGAGGACGGAGGCGTTCTCAGTCTCTGACATTGAAGGAGAGGTCCGTTAGGTATGGGTGTCACTCCCAAGGCCTGGAGGATGTTCAGGAGCCACTCCTGAGGCCTGGAAGATGTTTGGTACCACTCCTGAGGCCTGGAGGATGTTTGGTACCACTCCTGAGGCCTGGAAGATGTTTGGTACCACTCCTGAGGCCTGGAGGATGTTCGGGTGCCACTTTCAAGGCCTGGAAGATGTTCAGGTGCCACTCCCGAGGCCTGGAAGATGTTCGGGTGCCACTCCTGAGGCCTGGAAAATGTTTGGGTGCCACTCCGAAGACCTGGAGAATGTTGTGGAACCGGCCCTGACTCTGGGTGTCTGGAATGAGGGAGGGGGTAGGTCCCGCTGATGGAAGAACCTGTTATGGGGGACTGGGTACAGACCCTGCAGGTGGATGTTGAAATGACTCCCTAAGACAGGTGTCCCAGTGTGAGGAGATAAGCCTAGGAAAAGAGAGAACCCCATCTGTGCTCAGCAGCTCTGGCTGGGAGGG